AGTTTTAGTAGTTTTTGATTTGGGTCAATGGGCAGCTGGTTTGGCTTCGGGTAGCCCGAGTACCATAATCGCAATATTCTGGCTGCAAAAATAGACTTATACCAAAAACAAGTCTTTCAAATTATTATAACGAACGATTTCTTGCCTTATGGACCAGTCTGATAACAACCAACAAGTTCAAACTTGTTTGGATTTCCCAATTCTCCAAACTTTCTACAGTTTCTACTACTACGGAAATTTGCAATACCTGTGGAAATCCCGGAAATCAGATGTTACATAACCTATAAATGTAAGGTTCATTTATTTAACTTACGAAAATGCGTTAAAATGCACTTTACTGCACTTATCGACAAGTGGAAAGTAGCATTTAACCGCACACTATGTGTTAACGTAGGACGTAGACTGCGGTAAAGTTACATGACCTCAAATTGTGTGATAAGGTAGGCTTTGGTAGGTATTAATTGAAAATCCTTTCTCGTGCAGAAATTTCAATAATGTTTTTTTTTGGGGATGCAAGATGCTCATAGGTAAAATTTTGTACACATGCAGAAAGTGCCTTTACCACCAGGGTTGGCAAAAATCCAGATAATTGTATTGTAGTGGATAGAAAAATGTATTTTTGAGATGAGATGACTACAGAGGTATCAAAGAGTGCCTAAGAACATTTGGAAGATTTCTGATAACTTCTAGAACATCACAGGGCTTCAAAATCATTAGTAACCAATTAAAAACTTTGGAAAGCATTTTGAAAAGTTTCAGAATGCGCTAGTGCCAAGTTAGAAATGTTTAACCATCTTATGATGCTCTAGAGCAATTTAGAAATTTGATAAGTTTAATAAGACTTTCAATTAAATTTGCAATCCTCCTGCATTTATTTGAGACAAATTCTCGGACAAATTGGAATCTTGAACAACATTGTAAAAGTACAGAACCAATTTAGAATTTGAGAGACATTCTAGAACAAACCAGAACACTTCTGAACTTTGGGCAACATTTTAGAAAATTTTTGGAATACTCTAGAACACTTTACAAATCATATGAAGCTTTTGAATTTTTTAGAATTTTTAGAATATCTGGAGAATTGTCACATGACATTTTAGAACTAACTTAAAACATCCATGAACATATTAGAACACTCTAAAATACTTCTTAACTTAATTAGAACTACCAAAAAGCACTTAAGAATATTTAGTAGATTTCTGATAACTTCTAGAACATTCCATGCTTCAGAAGCAACCTACTAAAAATTTTAGAAAGCATTTTGAAAAGCTTCAGAATGCCCTTGTTGTTGGAACATTTTCAATCATTTTGAGACGCTATAGATCACTTTACAATAAACTTAGAAGTTTGATAACCTTCAGAAGACTTTCAATTCAATTCTCAATCCTCCTGCATTTGTTTGAGACAAATTGGAACTTTCAAGAACACTTTAAAACACTACAGATCACTATTGAATCAAATTAGAATTTCAGAAATATTCTAGACCAGAACACTTCCAAACTTTCAGGTACGAATCATATGAAACTTTGCTGATAAAAAATGTTTGTTTATTTCTCCGTTAAATATTTTGATGGGATTTTTCTGTGAATTTTTGTGTTAACTTATATGGAAATACCAATCAAAACTCCATCCAGAAATCCAACTAGAAAAAATTGTTCGCCAAGCCTGTTTACCACTCTTAACAGCTTGACCAAACTATATTAATAACTATTTTGATAAGAAGGCAAGATTTTATTATTGGAATACCTCCCTTTGTTTCAGAACATGGAGGAAAAGACACCAGGAAAAGAAAATCATTATTTTCCTTTAAGACTACGCTCAAAGTTTGCCCACAAAAGCCACGGATTCGTACCGAGCAAAAAACACAAAAAATGGAAAAGATGGTTTTTGTCCAACTACAGTCAAACAAGTGAAACATCCATAACGGATTTTAACAAAATTTTATTCCAAATGTATATTAATATGAAGCAACTTTTGGATTCGGATATTGGCGCACGCCCAGATCTGTTGCGGTGTTTTCAGAAAATAATCCCAAAGGAATATTACGGCTCTCTCTTTAACAGACAAAAACTATTCTTTATTATCAAAAGAATTATAACGCAAACCCAAGGCGAATACATTCATATTTCTGCACTTTATAAAAATTTTCAATATGAGGACATGAAGTGGTTGACAACGGAAGACAATTTTATGGATCAAGTTTTGCAAGCTAATATTTTGCTCATACAAACTGTGATAAAGCCTTTTATACGTTCTTGCTATTATTTTTTGGCCAGTTTTAAAGACTATGGATTTTCTGTGATTCCCAGAGGTAAATTGTAGGCAGAATGAGGTTCTCACCAATACAAAACTTTTCTTCTTATACAGTTTGGAATCCTTTAGAAAGGTTTTTTTTTTAAAACAAATATCAGTTAAAACGCAGTGAATTATTATTTTACATTATTGTCCTTTTAAGGCGACGGCGATGCTTTCTTTGATAAATCGAAAAACAAAATATGTAAATTAGGACACATACGTTTAGTTGAAGCGACTGAATCTGTTACCCAGACGCCATTAGGAAATCTGAGTCTTCTTCCAAAATTCGGGTTCCCAGACACTGAATATAGACCGATTGTACGAACTAATAATAAGGTTCCAATCAACAAAATTGAAATTGACATTAAAGCTATTAAATTAGGATTAAAACGCATGGCGAAAAAGCAACAAATAATCGGAGGCACATTGCAGTTTTATGATAAATGGATCAACTTTCTTCAGAAGAGTGAAAACAAAAAAAGATTATATGGTAAACAACTTATTTGTCTATTATATAAGTTAAGATGTACCTATGGATATTATTTGTTTAAGAAAGTTTGGCCTTAAAAGGTTGATTTTACTTTATGTTATACAATTTTAGCTATTAAATTGGATCTGTTCGATGCATTTGGCTTTATTAACATTGACAAACTGACAGAACTAATAATTCAACCCAGTAAAGAAGGTTTTCTATTGAATCATGAAGTGAAATATTTGTTGGATCTTCTGTCCAACCAATATGTTACCATAAGAGGACAGAAAGAAATTTATAAGTGGGAACATGGTAATTAAATTCATTTTGGACAGTTTTAGTTGAATACTTTCGTAGTAAAGTTCCCATCACTGTTCAATTTTCTGTGTAACTAAGTGACCAGTCCTTGTACAAAATCGAAAAGTTATTAATTATTCAAAATATATTTTAGGTTTACTCCAAGGATTGCATCTTTCACCTCTTCTATGTGAACTTTACCTCAGCCACATTACCAAAGATTGTTTCAAGGGTTTCGATATGACCAATTGCTTCTTTCATCGGGCCGTCGATGATATTCTATTTATATCGACTAACGAAGATAAGCTAAATGAATTCGAACTGCTAGTCTTTTCAATGGAAATACTTAATCAGGGCAAGACACAACGTTATCTAGAGGAAAATGCGGACGATCCAAATATACTGTTTTGCGGGAAACTAATAAATATGGAAACTAGGGAAACTTGCACACCACATAATTATAAGAAAGGAGATGACTTGAGCTGCAAATTCAAATTGTGGAATAGGAAAAAACAGTTTGGGGATGATGATGCTTATAGTTTTCTTGAAAATGCAATGCAGTAAGTATTTATTTGTTTAGAGTAATTATTTTGTGTTTTCACACTTATTTTTTGTCCAGGTATTCTCCTCTCAATCACTTCTTCTCCAAATTTGACCTGAATACTGTTTGCAACAGTGTAGATACGGTAGCGAAAAATATATTTCATGGAATGTGTTACGTAGCTATCAAATTAATATTTGCCGTAGAGACTATTCAATATCTCTTTGTTGACGGAAAAAATTGTTGCCAAGTAGTAATTAAGATTATACAGTATATTCAACGTCGTTACCCTAGATACATAGAAAAGACAGTTCAGAAGAGCAAAGGAAAATATTATAAAGATATTTTGTCCGAGAAGCTTTTCAAGTTTTTGTGTTACAAAGCGTTTTATGTTATTTTTCAAAAAAAAAGTGCCACTTATAAAGAAGTATTGACATATTTAAAGGAGAAATCAGAGGTTTATATACTCGACTTAAAATATAATGTTGACATACAATACATTTCAACAATTCCAGATGCTTTTCGAAATGTTAAATGTGGTAGAAATACCGTATTGTATTAAGTGTTTATTTTGTTTCTTATGTAAAGTATTCTATATTTTGTCTGTGATTGATACAACTCTTGCGTTATTAAGTTTTTTGATTTGGTTTTTATATGTAGGTATCAATATTAGAGTCTCTATGCTTATTTTGTTTACCAAGTCTAATAGGTACTTGCTGCCAGTATTATTTTTTTATTTTTCTAATAAACATTTAAATAAAACAGTAAAGGTGTCTTATTAATTTCTCATTTGACGGGCAAATTGAAATAGGGATTTGTTTCATAACATAAATTTGAAAATATCAGATGTACGTAAGGTTCGTTTCACCAGGGTTATATAGTAATTCGAAGCCCAGTGTAAAGAGTGACAATAATGTAATAATAATTGTGAAACACTAGATTTAGAGGGTTGGCATACTAATTTAATTGGCTTCAATTAGAGCCTTATTGCGTTGAAATCAGAAAAAAATTAAGGGAGCTGTGAGATAAAAACCATCTCGGTGTCATTTTTGGAAAATATTCAATGTTCCATTTATTAAATTTTGAAGCTTCTCAGGTGCAAAACTGTTGAAAATTGAAACAAAATATACAATTTTGTGTAGTTAAGTAAACACAAAAACTATCGCAATATCCCGCAAAAACCCAGTAGAAATTTTCAGAAACCCAGATTCCCCAACCCTGAGTGGTGTCAATTTATTCTTGTATTCCGTTTCATAATATGTAATACTTCATGCATTCATGGATTTGGAACAAAAAACCATTTTCCACAACTAATATGCTCCTGGATTAGGGTTATTTTTCTAAAACACCTTTTTGTGAGGACCGATTCTATTTCTGTTGAAGTGTATGAAACGATGTACTATATACATGCATATTATAAGTTATAGTGATATAATTATACCTAGTAATATAACATTTTTCAATTTTCTATCCTAATGCCAAGGTACATAAAATTTTCCCAAATTTTAACAGTAGTAGCTTTCTGCTCTGTGCCTGAATAGACAAATTACTAAAAATTACAAAATGCTAAAGACAAATATAAAAGTTCTCTATTAAATACAACAAATATACAACGAAAGACACATTAATAAAGATTACAAAATGCTTAAGATAAAAGTACTCTATTGAATACAACAAAAGATACATTACTAAAGAGTACAAAATGCTTAAGATAAAAGTACTCTATTAAATACAATGAAAATACAAATTACTGAAGATTACAAAATGCTAAAGACAAAAATAAAAGTTCTCTATTAAATACAACAAAATACAATGGATCTTTAATTATAAATGTTTTCCACTACAACCGCTTCATTGCCTTCATATTCACCTTCAAAAAGCTGTTCAGAATATTCAATAGGCACTTCTTCTGCAACTAAATCTGTTGCATAATAATCTGAATCCTCAATAGGCACTTCCTCTGCAACTTCTGCTGACTCTTTTGGATAATAATCTGAATCTTCAATATCATCAGCCTGAGCTTCTTCAATTTTAAGTCTTTCTAGCTCTCCTCGATGACTTTTTTGCAAATGGAACCTAAACAAATTACACAATAAAAAAAATAAAATATTTTAAACATCAGAAGTCTCACTTCAAAATATCACTATCTACGAAACCTTTGTGGCAATAGCTGCACTCATATTTCCCTTGATGACTATGCATGTGTAATTTAAGATTATACTTGGAAGTAAAGCCAGAGCCACAATATTTACATTTGTGAGGACGTTCACCAGTGTGCGCAAGTTGATGTTTTTTCGTTTCGCCTACAGATCTGAATTTTTTATCACAAAACTCGCAGGAGTATGGCCTCTCACCAGTATGAGCGAGTTCGTGACGTTTTAATGAATTTGTAGTATAATATCTAGAATGATAATTATTATTAAGCTACCAAAAAAATAAACTAACAATTGACCTTTTTGGACAATAGCTGCACTGTAAATTTCTTTCGCCAGCATGTATTTTCAAATGATAATACAAAGCAGTTTTATAATGAAATCCTTTGCCGCAAATTTGACATATGACCGCAGTTTGATCCTTGTTGTGAGTCTTCGCGTGCTTTGTGGCATTGTCTTGCGTGAAGAATTTTTTGTCGCATTTATCACAACCATAGTTTCTACCACTATGTTTTTTTATATGATAAATTAATTTTTTTCGATTTTCAAAAATTTCATCGCAAATATGGCATTTGTAATCCTTTTCTGATGGTAAGTAGTTTGGTGCGTCATCAAAATATTTTATTTCATTCATATGACTTTCTTTGATGTGAGTTAAAAGTTGTATACGATTGCTGTAAGTAATAATATTAGATGCTATGTTGATACAATCTTTAAAACTTACTTATAACTAACATCACAAACGTAACAATGAACATCTTGTGTGTTTTTATTACATTTACGACTGTGTTTTTTAGCTCTTGCTAGGGTAGATATTGGCTTTAAGCAATAAGGACATTTAAAATTTAATTTTAATGCAGATCGGATTGCAGATTTTTCATTTTCATTTGACAACACTAAACTATCAAAAGCTTTCATGTTAGGTTCATTCATGAAAATGGTTTCATCTTCATATTTAGGATCTAAAGATTTTTCTAATTTGAATATTAGATCTGCTCGAGGATCTGGTGGAGGATCTGATGGAATATCATCATGATTCTCATCGTCATTGTCAGGTTCATCTGGTATTTCTTCTAAAATTGATATTACTTAATATGTTTTTACTATAAAAATAAATTCAATAAACCTTGTATGATTTTCTCAATTACTAAAGATGGTGCTTCTACTTGAAGTTTAGGTTTGTGGTATCCTTTTTCAACAAAAGTTGCAGTAATTGTTGTGCCAAGGTTTTGTAAAAAGCCATCAAAAGTGAATAAATCGTCTTCCTCTTCGCTTTCAATGACACATAATTCTTTGATATCAAATTTTTGAGTGCCTACAAATAATTCTACAGGAGCTTTAACATCTTTGTTAGTTCTAATTGGTGCCTCTTCTACAAGTTCATTATTAACTGAAAATTAAATTTCAAAATACCATCAACAATAAAATCACTGATGAATATGAGAACTCACCAATAATATCATCTGAAAACTCTTCTTCAGATTCCTTTGGTTGTTTTGAAATATTTCTTTTTGGCTCTATAAGCATTAATCATTAAATAATTGTATAAACAAACAATTTACTTACCAATATCAATCACAAATTGTTCTACAGCTTTATTTAGTTGTCCAGAAAGAATTTCCTTAGACTTTTTAAACTGGGCAATCAAATCATAAGCAATCTTCAAAAACCCAAAACACATTCTACAAACCGTATCTGGATAATTTGCACCTCTGGGTACAGTTTCGTTGGCGAGCAATTCCAGAGCCTCGACAACTTGGATTTCCGGATTCTGGATTTCGTCTAAAGGGGCACCCAAAGAAGACCCGGTTTTCAAACAGTGAGAGAGGCATATTCGGCATTGTGTTTGCGTACAGAGATAGTCGTATTTTCTTTTGTATCGTGTCGCTGGTGGAGACATTATTTCCTTTTTTCGATTGCAAGAAAATTGAAAATTATCACACAAAATTTAAAGGGGGAAATTTATAAAATAGGAGACAACACAACAGAAAACTTAACCTCAATCTCAAAACAATACACTACAGTGTTGCCAAATGGCAATGCCAAGCCAAGGATTGATCAAAAAGCGATCCGAAACGGGTTCACATGTTCGGCTCAAAACAAAGCGTTGCTCTAGACAAGATTAGTGTGTTCGTATTGAGCAATAGAATGCTCTCAAATCTCGCACGGAGCGCTCTCTCTTGCTCCGTCAAATTCGATGGATCAAAGAGTTTGGTCAGAACGGCTATTGATTTCGAATGGTGTGCCCCTTTGTGTGCCTTCGTTTGGAATATAATCGCTCTCGAGGGAATCCCGTAAACTTCATCATCCATACGGGGAGTGTTCTGAGAGCAGTGAAGCCGAAAATGTTATTAAAATCCCGAGTTACTCTACTCTGCGGTATGACGTCATCAGTCTACTCGCAGTGCAAAAAATTAAATGTTTAAGAATGCCTAGGGTCTCTTGGAGTTGTCCGCATCCGAGATTAGCTTACGGAACGCGATTATGGAATGGACAGGCTCAAGCATTGGGCTCAAAAAGATTCAAATATGTAATACGATGTGGCATTTAACAACAATTTTTATGTTCTGAGATTGCACTAAATTTGCACCATTCGTTATGTTTAGAGCGCAAAACTAGAGCAACTACAGTTCGATGTTCGATCACTTTCATAATTATGATTCTCTTAATAAGGCTGCTTTGTCAATAACAATTTAGTTGAGACATTAAAGCATAATTTGATTTGATTTGATTTGGATTTATTCGAAAGAGATAAAAACTGCATTAAAGTTATTCGCATAATTTTTCGTTTCTATAATCGTCAAAATTCATTGGCCATACTACTGGTCAGAGGGCCTCTGAGGATTCCTAACCCACGATTCGTCGTGCATTCGGCATCTTGATCTGAGTTCTCCGAGCTTGAATTTACCGTTCGTTTACTTAAAAAGTGTGCTCGGTGCAAGCTCATTCGCGTTCGTTCAATAAAATTTCGAACGCTTTGATACAAGTTGTATTCCTTTCACACCTAGGAGGAGCTCCGGAACAGCTCCGGGGCTTCACGCGCTTATTCCTTGAACTGCTCTTATTTTTCTCGTCCCTGAAGGTCCAACCTGTTTGTTAAAATTGTCAAATGTCAAATCAGAATATTGACAGTTGAGTTGAAGAGGGCGCTTCTGTACTTGGAGCTTTTTAAATTTTGGCGCGTGAATAATCGAATGTAATTTTAACCTCAAATGTCAAATTTGATATGTGGTTTCGGGACAAGCTGACGCTGACACTTTTGAAAATATTCTTTAAGGGCCACTGAACGTTTTGGAAGATATTTTAACCTATTCACTGTTCATTGTTCATATGTAGTCATCTTTCTTTCCACTTATTAAATCGGTTTAAAACTATTGACATTTACCGCCAAAATTCAAAGCACTCCAAGTTCACTCACGCCCTCTACAAAATTGTATGGAACTTAACTGGATATTTGCTGCCATTATAACAATAGTTGTATTCCTTTCACACCTAGGAGGAGCTCCGGAACAGCTCCGGGGCGTTACGCGCTTATTCCTTTCGAAAAGTGTTTGTTGCACCTGAGTGCTGAAGCCCGATTCAAACCATTTAAATCCATGACAGCCAGTGCATGTGTTCCTTTCAAATCGGGGTCGACTAACACCAGAGCGAGTAGCTCTAGTGTTTCAAGCTCTTGAAAGGAATACAACTAAATAGGTCCTGTTTCTGCAGAAATCAAAAACCATTCAGAGCGAATTTGATTGGTTGAAAACAGTCAGAAGCAGTCAGAAAACTAGTTTCAACTCAACCAATGGAATTCACTCTGGCTGGTTTGTGATTTCTGCAGAAACAGACCTGTTATTATTTCCAAGCGTTCGGGTGCAACAGAGAACGTGCAAAGCACATAGAGTATGATGGGTGTGAAGTGTTCTAGGAGCTTCTCACTTTGCACCCGAAAACAGCTATTGGTGTGTCACCATTTCCAACCTCATAACTAGGTAGGCAGCTGTCGTGTAGTGTTTGTCGTAGTTTAGAATTTAAAATGAAAAAAATTATTATTTAATTTTGATTAACATGATAGACAAAGAGGAAGATGAAAACGAGATCTAAAAAAGGGTTGTTATAATGTAGTATGCATTAAGCGTAAGCCCGCGGAATCATAACCTGTAGTGCAAACAGCCTACGCAAAGGCGAGAAACGACATGTTGGATACGTCACAATTGTTGGGGGGCTCCAGATTTGTTCCACACAGGCCTTTGGGGGCGGATTACGAACTCTCGATTCGAACCGAAACCGCCATGGATTTCGGACGCATTCTTATGTATTCGCATGGAGTGCGTTCGAAATCCATGGCGGTTTCGGTTCGAATCGAGAGTTCGTAATCCGGCCCCTCTGGTTTATTTGCCTTGACACGATGCAATATATCGTGGCGCGATTGGGTTGACGCTCGGCGGAGTGAGCAGAGCAAAGAGCAATCACGGAGTAACGTGACGTTAATAAACCGCGTATGACTGCATTCACCAGAATGGTGCACCTCCACGGATGCGGTGATTAAAATTCACTAATGCCAAAAGGTTTGTTCCAACCAGTCAAAAAACCGTCCCAGAACGGTTTCGCAACCACTCTGTATACGAATTTCGGTTTCTGCGCAAAAATTTTAGGTTTTGCGCAGAATCCTGACGGTAATAGGTCTGTTTCTGCAGAAATCACAAACCAGTCAGAGTGAATTTCATTGGTTGAAACAAGTTTTCTGAGTGTTTTCAACCAATGAAATTCGCTGTGACTGGTTTGTGATTTCTGCAGAAACAGACCTAATATTACGGTTTCCGTAGGTTGGAACAAAGCTATAGCCAAACCACAGCTTGCCAAACCCTGTTTAATTTAACAACACTGCTTTTTCTACCATTCCACCACGGTGCCTACACCCAAGGATGATACACACCTACGGATTGCTTATCGGTCTCGTTTTTGGTAATCGCCGCCATATTGGTGTGTTACCATTTACGATGTCATAGCAAAGTCATCAGCTGTTTAAACAACCAACGTGAAGGCGAGAAATAACATGCTGCCTACGTCACAAGTGGTAATTTGCATGGGAGTGAAGGGGGGAATTTGTTACACACAGGCCTTACGAGGATAGGCCATCCAGTAGTAGTAGTGTGTATCATCCTTGGCCTACATCAGCTGAATTCAGCCATACACGAGAAGTGAGAAGTGCACCGTGTCAAGAGTCAATACAAATAAACGCCATGTTGAAAATATATCGTGACGGTTTTTTGTCACGCTAGCTCGTGATTCGCAAGAATGATACACACTACTACTACAGGATAGCCTATCCTCATGAGGCCTGTGTGGAACAAATCCCCTCCCCCCTACACCCCGCAAAATCACAATAGCTGTGACGTAGGCAGCATGCTATTTCTCGCCTTAACGTAGGCTGTTTAAACAGCTGACGACTTAGTTATGACGTCGAAAATGGTGACACACCAATATGGCGGCGATTTCTAAAAACGAGGCCGATAAGCAATCCTGTTGGTATGTATCATCCTTAGCCGCTTTCCAGTATGCACATTGGCGCGCTCTGGCGCGCTCCAGAGCACCTCGGGGGCTCCACGCACTAGATTTGTACCGTTCCAGTATCATGGCGTGAGACGCCCGTCTTAGTGTCAAATATGTCAAATTTTAAAAATAATTATCTGTTTGTTTGTGCAGTTTGTTTTTTTATTTATCAAAAATGAAAGAGAATCAAAACTATATATTTTAAAATGTTCAATCTTGAGATATAACAAGAAATAAATAGATAAATAGCCACCCACAGATGTGACAGCTGATAGGTTGACGCGTACGTACAGCTCGGGGGCTCAACGCCCCGAGTAGCTCCGGGCGTCACACTCCCATACTGGAAAGCGGCTCTTGCGTGAGTCGTGTGTCACGGCCTTGAAATTTAACTCCTAGAACGCGGAAGTTTCACCCCAAAAATATGCATATGATTCTATTCACTACTATCAGTTAAGTTCAGAACAAAGTCAGTTAATATGTGAGTCGCAGGACAAAGGTATCGCTCTCACTTATGTTAAAGAATAGGCCTAAAAGTGTTGGGCTCGACTTGCTTACTCCATTCACTCTGAATCCGTATACACTCGTCACTCTAACTATTCGGTATTTCTTGGGTATTTCTTTTTGCTTTTTGACGTAAGTAGAGTGACTCTGCGTTCCTCTATGTAGAGTAGAGTGAATGGAGCTTACACCAAAATTTCCACCCCAGTGAGGAAATTTTTTAGAGCATGTAGTAGCACGCAAACATGCATGTCTTTGAATCAAACAGGTTGGTCATGTGCTAGTTTAAGCATTGCAATTTGCATTTTAAAATGGTTATGAGCAATGGAGTACCTACGCATTAACCAAGAGGGGTTTGAGAACAAAACAAAGACTGAGTTCGGTTTTACACTCTGAGTGCGCTCGAAATGATAAGATCCTGTTCCTTTTAGCCCTCAGGTCCATTACTAATTTACCTACCAGTTTACTACTAAAATGAAATTAAAATCAAAACAAAACAATTTTTTTGAGATTAGCGACAACTGTGACAAGGGTTTCAGGATTTTTTTTCGATCTGCGTTCGGCTTATGACCTTGTTCATGACGCACTCTGCGTATGACGTCACGATATTTAAGGTCATACCGTTACGCTCCGTGGAGTGCAAAGCCGAACTCAGCTAAATAGAATTATTGCTCTGAACGTTCGGTGGCCATTTGCACCGACCTTTTTAAGGGAGGCTTAACGATAAGTATACCTTAAAATGACAGTTTTACATGTAAAAATGTCACTTTAAGGAATACTTATCGTTAAGTCTTCCTTAAAATGGTCGGTACAAACGGCCACGGGTATTTTATTTACGGTATCCGCCAAAATAAACAGTACCGAAATGTACTCCAATATCACGTGCAAAAATCTACTCTCACTTCTCCATTCCATCTCTGTGCTGAATACCCGAACTCAAGAATGGCTGCGCCATGTTTATAAATCTCCCAAGTTTCGAATTCGAGAAACAGCGACGCGCTATAAAACGAAATTGTCACCTCAGGGTCAAAAAGTCGTCTAGAAGACGTTGTTTTGAAGATGTCCATAGGATGTCGCGAATTCACATCTTTGAAGACAACTATTTGGTACAACCAGGCCTATGGTTTATGTATTGAAATGAGATTCAAAGAAGTATTCAAGACATCTCGTTGAAGATGTCTTTAGAATGCCTTAGTCCTAAAGACGTCTTTAGGCAGCAGACGTCTAAAAGACGTTGGGTTTTGTAACATACGACGTCTTCAAGATGTTTTTAAAGACGCGTTAAAGATGTAAGCAAGATTTCTTGAATGTCGTTTATCGACATGAGAACGTCTTTTAAGATGTCTACAAAAATTTCCCACAGAATTCTTTTCGCATTCATTTAGAAGTTACTGGAAACTTCAAAACCATTTTAGAAGCCGATTAACAATTTCCAAACACACTTAAGAACAATTAGAAGTTTGAAACCCATTTTAGGATGCTCCAAAACACTCTTCTAGAATCTCAAGCGCCAGAATCTTAGGATTCAGGTGGAAAGTTGAAAAACGCCACATAGGACGTTTAAGAGCAAATTTAAAATAGTGTAGAACTTTGAACTTTTGATAAGTATCCAAAATAGTTCAAATCCAAATCAGAGTATTAAGGAACATTTTGGAACAATTTAGAAATTTCAGAACAATTTTTTTTTTAGAATGCTCCAAGCCAAGTTAGAGCACTTTAAAACTTCAATAAGCCATTTAGAACGTTCCAAACTTAGACCATGTTCCAAAACACTTTCCAGCAGCATTTTGGAATAAGGCTTCAGAACAATTTCAAAACCTCAGAATTATTTCAGAGAGCCTAATGCCTGGAATAGGCAAAAATTGAAATTTATAAAATGAGTAATATAATAATGAAATATTAGTCCTGAAGAAGTCTTAAGGTCTTAAGGCAGACGTCTAAAAGTTGGGTTTTGTGAAAGAAGCCCTATGCCCCATCACTAAACTAAAAGAAGTACCTAGTAGGAATTTGATATTATCACCAATATCTGTGTTTCGTTTGTTATAAAGCTGGTTTGAATTCAACTATTCTATATTAGCCAGAAAAATTGAAGTTGAATTAATTCTTAGATTTCAAACTTCCGAAAACGGATACATTTAAACTTGGTATATAGCCTTTTTATTCGTACAAGAAGCACGGCGTCGATGAAAGACCTTAATCAAGCAGCAGCAGCAACGATGGTAGTTTTCGAACAAGAACTCCTTGCAAACAAATAAAATAATTAAGTGGAAGAAGTAAAGCCGCCTCAGGGATACATTACGGTTCATCAGTATCTTTTCAGCGAGGCGAGAGCCTTTTGGGCACCGTAAACCGTCCGAACAGCGAATTCATTTTTCGACGGCTCTCGTTTTTGGTTTTGGGTCCGGGTGGTGGTAAAGAAGCGTGCATTAATGAAGAAAGAAACTCGCCGAGAATACGGAAAACTCCCATTTGGAGGGAAAATAAAGTCGCGATTTAAAAGGAAACTTTTAATCGACGTCTCGGGTAGGATGATGAAATAAATCTCTATGTGTTAAAATGAGACTTTCAATGTATTATAAATTGTTTTATTTCTTATTCTGGTAAAATTATAATTGAAAATCTGCTATTTGCAGTTATAGATTTTTGGTTTTGGGTAGTAGAGATGTTATTAATAATAGGAAGCAATTTTTGACTATTCAAGAGAAATTATCGCCTCGAGCTGGTCAAATAGCTTCTTTGAGCCTTGCATGAAAAGTAAAAAATTTCTATTCCCAGCGCTCCTATTGCCAAAAATTGAACTAGACACGTGTAAACCTTAGATTTTTGACCATTCAAAAGGGGTAGAGCTAGTCAAAAAGCTTGTTTAACTCGCGCAGAGCTGAAATCCAATTGGGAAATAGTAAAATCTCATTCCCGGCTCTACTAGAGCTGAAATTTGAACTAGAAAAGCAGAAAATTTCTATTCCCAGGGCTCGTATTGCCAAAAATTGCACTAAAGACGTGTGGAACTTAGATTTTTGACCATTTAAAAGGCCTAGACCTGGGCAAAAACCTTGGTTGACCCTCGCAAAACTGAAATTTAATTGGGAAATTGTAGAAATCTGATGCCCGGCTCTATACTAGAGCTGAAATTTGGATTTGAAACGGATACAATTATAACTAACGAATGTGACAAGCTATTCAAGTACGAGTGAATTGTTGCGGAACTTATCGGTGGACCTCTGCGGGATGAGCGCAGCGAGTTCCGCAGCCATCTATTCATCAATATGTTGTTTAATTACGATACTAACTTGACTCACTCAAATGTGAGTTATTCTCATTAGTTTAAAAACTACACGTTTCAGGTGAATGTCTCATTTGAACAGTTCAACAGTATATTGGTGAGTAGATGGCTGCGGAACTCGCTGCGCTCGTCCCGCAGAGGTCCACCCATAAGTTCTGCAATAATCCACTTATTTGTACTTGAACAATAACTTATTATATAAAGTCAAAATTTGTAAGATTATCCACTTTTTGTCAATTTGCCTTTCAACAGGAATTAGTAATGTTACTTTACCAAACTAGTTACATAATGTGACAAGTTATTCAAGTACAAATGAGTGAATTGTTGTAAAACTTATGGGTGGACCTCTGCGGGACGTGCGCAGCGAGTTCCGCAGCCATTTATTCCTCAATATTTTGTTTAATCACGATACTAACCTGACTCACTCAAATGTGAGTTTTTCTATTCAGTTTGAAAACTACAGGTTTCAAGTGAATGTCTTACATGAACAGTTCAATAGTATATATTGATGAGTAGATGGCTGCGGAACTCGCTGCGCTCGTCCCGCAGAGGTCCACCCATAAGTTCTGCAATAATCCACTTATTTATACTTGAACAATAACTTATTATATTAAGTCAAAATTTGTAAGATTATCCACTTTTTGTCAATTTGCCTTTCAACAGGAATTAGTAATGTTACTTTATCAAACTAGTAACATAACGTTACAACAGCAATACATTCTATTATCTCACTATACGTTTGTAGAATTCTAGTTTTAAAGTAAAAACAAAAATAGCAAGACACACAAACAAGACACTCTCCATCAGTTTAAAAAACACGTAAGTAGGTAAACCATCAACGAACGAGTTCAACCAATCTCGAGTTGCGGAAGAATATTTCGTTTTTGGAAGCACCATCGGTAAAGCTAAGTGCAAGCTTTTCGAGAGAGAGAATACAAAGTGAGCAAACCAGCCAGAGAAGTATAAAAGCCGGAAAATGCCACACCGGTTCTCCCAAGCAAAACTAGGCAAGTAGTGACTGTAAAATAATTCAAACGCTGAGTAAGTAGGTAAGTATGTATACTATTTCAATCCCTCGTATAAAATCCCGTAACAACAGGAGGAATTTACATATTTTGTACTCATGCATAAAAGCTTACGATGGTAAAAGCTTATATACGTTTGAAACAAAATGTGGCTAAAGGGTAAGGTACCTACTATGAAATTGTATTTAGAAAATTTTAATTATTTACTATACTTTATGAAGCTTCTATTTCACTTATTGTAATTGAAAAAATATTTTTGTAAAATAAAAGCTAATAGATACTCAGTATTAAATTCTAAATATCACACCGATTGCAATATTTATTAATTAAATAAACAATCAATTTGCTGATGAAACAATATTTTGTTTAATTAGCTGCACTATTGTTTTAAAACCTGCAATATTGCACAGTGCTTCGAATAAAACTATGTTTTCAAAAGCAGGAATTTATTTTTTAATATCTTTTGTGAGTTTTACTTCCGCTCTGTTTGATAATGGTAAATTTCTCCGATAATAAAGACTTGGATCTCAAATATTTGTTTTTAGATGTTGAGCTGACTTGCAAAGGAAAAACTTTTAGAAATGTTAGTTTAACCGCCTATTATCCCGACTATACTGATAGTGACAATGAATACGGATATCGGGATAAAAAGGGAAGAAAATTAATGACTTTACAGGTAAGTTATGAAAAATATGTTGTCTTAAGAAGGGTTTCAATGTACTGAGATCTTCAATTTGAGCCAGGAAAAGACAAAAAATGGATACCTAGGAAAAACAGGAAAAATTTCCAATTATCCCATTAAAAGCACTTGACTTTTCTTAATGTTTTCATTCCCAGCTCTCGAATTCTATTTCAAGAAATTGAAATAAAAATAAACCGATAACTCAGGAACCTCGAATAAAGAAAAATTGAAAAAACATTTTCCTATTTTTTTTTTCGACAGGAAAAAGAAAATTAATAGACAAAAGAAGACTTGAAGTGTCTTCATCAATTAAATTTTAATGATTAGATACTTAAAATATCTTTATTTCTAGGATTATTTGGATGACCGAACAGAATACGTTACACTCGGCATGGACGAAAAACTGGGAATTCCCTATGGAACAAAAGTATGCATCCCCGAACTAAATGAACATTTTGGACACAGAATTAGGCTCGAAGTCAGAGATTCTTCCTATGATTTATACGCTCAAGGGTATTCTAGGGCGGACATTTGTGTCCGATCTGAACTGGACAGTTACGATAACAGCTTCAATAAGGAAATAACTTTAGTTTTTGTGTAAAATAAACTTTGCTAATTAAAAAATTACCTATTTAATAAATCATCGTTTTTAATTATTGAACATTTTTACAGTTTCCAATTAAAATGGTAATGATTATTCTGTGATTGAACTAAGGTGCGGATGAGCGTAAAAATTACATTGTGAAAGTAGCATAATCTTAGCCCATATATTTGTTAAAGGCATAAATACAGGTGCATAACTATCTTTACGGTTTTTTTGTACATTTCAAGCAGTGTGAACGGTTCTAGTGAAAATGGCTAATGGGTTCAAGATTGGATTTTGCATATTCGTAAGTGAACATTTTGTATTTTAATATTTCAACAATTGAGTGAATTATTCTAGATTTGGTTTGAATATACAAAAGCACATGGGTCAGAGAGATTTGTACACAATCAGCAATTTCAGTCACAACTCATCAAAAATCAACAAGAATTCCGTCCAACACTTTCAAAATTCCATAGCATGTATTCTTCAACGCAGTCGCCAAGAAAAAGAGTTTCTAATCCAAAAGTAGATAGAATTTACTTTACTTCAACAACGCAGTCACCAAGAAAAATAGTTACTATTGCAGAAGCAAATAATAAAAATAGCAGCCAACTAGCGCAAGCTAGTGAAACAAATAATATCATTGAAGAGTTCAAAAAGCCAAGTATAAAAGAACTTCAACAAGTCATCAGCAAAATTGTTAAAAGTCCTTCAAAAATACATCAAGTTGTTAAAGCACCTGCTGTGTATGAGCTTCATTTACAAGAAGTAGAACCTTGGAAATTCAATTCATTGCGGAGTTCTTCTTGGAGAAAGCCGTCTAAATATTATAATAGACCAATTAAACGATATTTAAATCAAAGACCTTTCAAGTTGGTTAATGGTAGGAATAAAGTGGATTATCCTCCTGAGCTTAGTTGGTATTATGCAAAGAAAAATGAGCCACAACATTCATTGGGAAGAAAAAATTTAGCTGCTGTGTATCAATCCTATATAAGAAGAAATGGGGAAAACTTTTTTCCATTTCTGACTGGATTACATTATATTTTTCATGTTAGAGAGGCAGGTGACAAATAAAAATAAAATATGATTAGATTTAGTTGCGTTTCTATTATTTTTTAAATGTTTAAACCCTAATTTAGATTGTATAGTGTTGTCAAGCTCCATATAAATTACTAAAGCGTCTATATCTCTTTGTTTCAGCCAACTCTTAGCCTCTAATGCGAGTGAATAATTAGAATTACTACGGTGGTGGTTAAGCTTTACTCATTTAGTCGTCAGCTCGTAGAATAGAATTTAGAGCACCGAGGAAATCTTTAGCACTTTCAAGATATTTCTCCGTAACGTTGGGGGGGCTTTAAACTAAATATTAGATTTCAGTCGAAAACCTATTTCAGCCACAATTTCTCTCTTTCCTTTCGCTTGCTTTGCTTGCGACATAAAACTTTGAGCAAGAATTGAGAAAATGTTGTGTGTAACTATGTGCATTTTTCATTTAAAGTGTAAATTGGGTTCAAAAAGAGAACGTAGCATAGTTTATGTATTTGGATTTAGACATAATTTTGTTTGTTTGAGACATGTTATTTGTCTTTAATCTTTTCTTATCCTAGAGAGAAAAAGTACCTGCTATAGGTAGGTAGGTTAGCCTTTTCTTCTAAGAGAGGCATAACAAATCCATTTTTATAATATTACCAAGAATTCTGCATTTATCCAAAAATGAACAGGAAAATACCCAAGCTTCATTGAATTATCCGTATTTCGGGTATTTACCCGGAAATCGGCAACGCTGACTGAAGTATATGCCTTTCAGGTATTATTGGCGTAGCATCATCCTTGGAAATTTGGCAGGTTAACCCTCGTATAATAATGACATTTGATGACAAAATAGGTCGGTTCTGCAAAAATCATAAACCAGTCAGAGTGAATTTCATTGATTGAAACTAGTTTCTGACTGGTTTCAACCAATGAAATTCGCTCTGACTGGTTTGTGATTTCTGCAGAAACAGACCTAATATTTTTTAAATTTCAGGGTTATGAAACAGAAAGCCGAGTTGCCAGAATGTGTAAAATATCTGAGAAAATTCAAATACAGTGAAGCTTCACTAATCCGGATCAATAAAAACCAAGGCAATCCGAATTAATGAAACATCTGGATTATTGGAACCTTTTGAAAAGTCACAGAAATACGTCAAAAACTGTAGTTTATTAACTCAAAATAGGTGCTTATTACATAGTACAGTTAATTTTTGCAAAACATCGTGTTTTTCGCTAGTGTTAACGTTTTGCGTGCTCTATTTGGCGCCATGATGCTTCCTACCGAGCTTTCCACCCTTGTCACAGAAAAAAACGCATCGTTTTCGGTGAAATAATAGGGGATTCACCGACATAGACTTTGGTAACACCAACTGTAGCGATTGGCAAACTGCACAAATAATTATGATCCGGATTATAGAATCACAGGTAATACATAATGTTAAGATCAATAGTTATTTATGGTACTAGTGTGTTATGTTGAAAATAAGTCACGCGAGAAAGATTCTCAAGTGACTTAGGAAACATAATGCACGAGTGGCATACAATGTTTTATCCAACAAGTAGAAGAAATCGTTTTTTTATGAGATAATACAAAAAAAAAACAAGATTCTATGCGTCGGCGTCTTCCAGCACTGTCAGCAGCTCTACCGATATGGGAGCGTCTGGTTCCAATGAACCAACGAATTTTACAATGACTTCAAATTCGAATAAACCGTTAACGTTTCCTTTAATTTCAATATCAATGTGAATTCTGCTTGTAATAGTAATAAATAAATAGAATGCTATTTTAAATATGAACGTGTGTTATAATCCATAACTCACTAATAAATAGAATACTACTTTAAATATGAACGTGAGTTATAATCCATAACTCACTAGTGAGTTATGGATTATAACACACTAGTGTGTTATCTGATAGTTTACTTGTCTAAAATGACATTAATAATAATAGTCATAACTGTCATGTATTGGATAAATATTTTAATTTTGTCCGGATAACTGGGAAATCCGGATTAATGGAGTTCGGATTAACGAAGCTTTACTGTAGTAAAATTATTTATTTTATTTGAAATAAAATAAATCCAAGGTAACCATAACAGTAAGCTTAACAGCATAAATAGGTATGTTTATTTAAACCATGTATGTAATTTTCACATTCCTTACTGGTTTGAAGGAAGGTTCGAAAATGTCACTTTACTTTTGTTTACTTTAAAGCAGGCCGAAAGTGACTGTTCTCCTGACACTTTCGGCCTGGAGAACTCACTTTCGGTCCTGATAAATTGATCTAAACCATTATCTAAACATAAATCCAGGTGCAATGTTTGTATTTAGAAATAGATGTCACATGTGTTTATATTGGCCGTGTTCGTTTTTGTCATCTTTTTCATCGATTTGCTCCGAAATTTTGACAGGCACGTGATTTGTAAATTGAAACTGTCTGATCCAGTCACGTGCCTGTCAAAATTTCGGAGCAAATCGACGAAAAAGATGACAAAAACGAACAGGGCCATTGTTAAAATTTCATAAGATGTCAATGTCGGTGTCAGACTGTCAGTCGAAATTCCATTTTTGTCATATTTTTAACTTATTTTTTTAAAATAATTAATGGTTCAAAATAAAATAGTATACATAATTCGGTGGAAAGTTTTCACATTATTGTCTCAAGAATTGGTTGACCGGCGCTTCGCACCTCGGTCAACTATAGTATCTCTCCACCTCTGCATATAATATACTATTTCGCAGTAACTTTTTTTTCGGGTTTGGTCCCACGGTTCCTAAAGTTAATAGATTGTCTGGTAATGCTAAACAGATGACGTCATCAGGAGGATCTTATGGAAATTTGCATTATGTTTAGTCGTCTGGATGACGTCATTAAAGTTATCAGGCAACCTAAGGGCGGGTATTATAAAACTACTTTGAGAGTACTCTCAAAGTAGTTTTATAATACCCGCCCTAACTCTTTCAAACAACTTTGGTTTGATGCAACAAAAATATTGGTTGTTGGTTATAAAACTGGCTTTACATCTACATTTAAACTATACCTACCCCAAATATATCTGGTAGTTGATGGGCTTCAATTATTATTCCCTGAAGAACCTCTGGTTTGTTTTTCTCAAAATAGCCGAAAAATTTTATTATTTCCCTTATTTTTTCTAGTGAAATTATTTTGTCTGTAGGTTTGTGATTTCTGTGGTCTGCACAGGAATTTTTCTCCATTTCTTCTTTTTTTTTTCAGCTACCTGCTTCATCATTTTCTGGACTCTTTTTTTCTTTCTTGTCCTACGGCGCTGTTCCTTCTCCACTCAGAACAATATTTTCGTCTATGAAATTTCAATTATTATTCGTTCATCCCATTGTATTTAATTTGTATTATAAATTACCTAAATATATGTTTATTTTTTTTTTACCTCTCCATGTAAACCAGAAAATTTATAGCAGTAATCTCGAATTACATGTACCGTACATTACACGGATGTATTTGATTCTACGCCCCTTTTGTAGCTACCTACAATGGCATGCACAAATAAATTTCAATGGCAAATTTAATATCATGAATAAATTGCTGTTATCACTCCGTTTAATTAGGACGTAGGTGTAGGTACGCCTAATGCCTGAAACATGTTATTAATGTTTTGTATTTTTCGTTGTATTGTTTGAAATATGTAATTCAATATTGCTTTTTAGGGCATTATATGCGGTGAATTTAATAAAAGGGATTGGTTAATTATTAAGCTTTTATTAGAGGCATTAAAAGGAAGGGTCTTTTTTGTGTAGGTATAGATTTTTGTTAATGTTATTGTAATGAGGGTTGAAAGGTGAAATGTTAGCCAAACAACCCAAATTCTAAAACAAATTAATCATGTTAATATGTGCTTGATGTTTTTGGATTATTTTCAAAATGTTTATGAATATTAAATATTAAAACAAACAGAAATTATTGTTTTCATTTTTGATATATTAATAATTGAGGTGCTATTTAAAATAAATGTTCTCCATCACTCGTGTTAAATTTTAATTATAAAATAACAGAAATGCTGAAAAATGATTGTGCGGTTATATGAGTTTTACTACTTATATTGTCACAATGTCACAATCCCTATACGTTTCGTCCTTGGACGTCACAAAAGGAATGTGACCTGGGGGCGTAGGTGGGGTTCAGGTAGAATGAAACTCGCTTGGTATAGGTACAATAAGAAATGTTTTGAATATATGGAATAATATTACCCTAGGAATAATACCATGACGTCTCTTCTACAGAGGGACGCACTACTTGGGCCACTATGTATTATGTACATTCTGTACACTTGGCGTGACTGAAGACTGAGGCTGGGTTTGAGACAGGTCCAGAAGGACGTTTCTTAATAAAGGTAGTTTGCACTGGGAGGAGACTTAGCTAGAGGGGCTTTTCCCAATTGAGGTACTTCGCACTAGCCTTAGTCTGCCGGTAATAGATCTCGGCGAGGTACTTATACCAAATTAATGCTGATTCGTCGACACACTTTGATAAAATTGATGTACAGTACAGAATGGTATTAACTTAAGTAGTTGACATATGTCTCCCCTCTGAAAAGTATTGGCCCCCAATGATTGTAGAAGAGAAATCAAAAATAGAATAAAATATGACAAGATACCTAATGGAATTACAATACGATAAAACACAATACAATACAATACAATAAAATACAATACAATAAAATACAAACAATAAAATAAAATACAATATAATACAAAAAGCGAAAGGAATAGGGGCGATGTAATTACTATAATTTAAATAAATTGATAAAACTGTGGTGCGCCAGAAGATCCCGTCACGGGTTGGGTTTTGCTGTCTAACCAGATGCGTTTTCTCAGTAAAGACAGTCCAGGTACCATAACGCTTGTACTTCCTTGAGGTCAGGTTTTGGTTAGTCAAATATGTCATAGTGTCCGGTTCCTTGCATCCAATGGCACAAAAAGTGTTTTTCGAAAGTTGGGGAAAATATGATGATGTCATCCAGGTAAATTAGCACTTCTTTCCATTTCATGTCCCTAAATACCTGATCCGTAAGTTTTTGGAAGGTTGCTGGGGCATTGCATAACCCAAAACTTAGTATAATAAACTCGTAGGTTCCAAGCCCTTGTGCCACAAACGCTGTATATTGCTTTGAACTTTCCTCTACTGAAACTTGCCAATATCCAGAAAATGTCGAGGGTGCTGAACCATTTTGCGTTGCCTAGGTATGAGAAGATGTCGTCGATCTGCGGCAGTGGGTAAGTTGATTTTTTTGTTACACTGTTTATTTTCCTGTAATCTACGCAAAATTTGGTTTTCCCATCCTTTTTCTTCACTAGCACCACTGGATTGGCAAGGCCTAATAACGTTGCTCAAGCATTTCCTGAATTTGTTTGTCTATGATCTGTCTTTCTTTCTGTGATAACCGGTATGGGCGACTTTTGAAGTTGGTTTTGCCCATTCGTTTTGTCGATTTTGCAAAAACGTCATTATATTCAAGAAGTAGTTCTATTAGTGCGTGTTTATTTTTCTCGTTTGGAACTCCTTCTACTTTATGGTCATCTAACATTACTTCTTCGTTTTCCTGGATCTTCTCCTCTAGTAGCATGAGATTGTAGGAGTGATGTATTTCCACTGTTTCTGAAAATGCCATTGTTGCTCCCGCGTAAGTATATAGCTACTGGATTCCTTGCATTTGATTTCACTTTTAACATAGGGCTGTCTTCGTTTGTGTAAATTTGCGTTTGTAGTACCAAATGATTTTCTGCTAACCAGTCCAAGTGATATTTGCATTGGTAGCCCACATTGTTCTTAATTTCATTATTTCCGTCCATTGTTTTTAACTGCAATATCTTTTCTTCATTTTGAGACACCGTATAATCTTTAGTAACCCCTAATTTGTGTACTTTATTTTTAGTTTCCGTACTGATTTGCATTAGGTTACTGATTTCTTCTTCGGGTTTTTCTTCTATTTTATGGCTTGGCTCTTATCTGTATATAAGAACTCTGTAACCCCAGTCTTCAATCACGCTAAGTGTACAGAGTGTACATAATGGAGTGTCCTAAGTAGTACTCCCTCCATAGAAGAGACGTCATGGTATTATTTTTACGGTAATATTATATTTTATCAATACATATCTTATTGTAGCAAAACCCAGCGAGTTTCTCTCTACCTGTACCCCACCTACGCCTCCAGGTTACGCTTCTGTTGTGACGTCCTAGGACGAAACGTATAGGGGTTGTGACATATTTGGTATAAATACCAAATAAATGCTGACCCGTCGACACACGTTGATAAAATTGACGTACAGAGTGGTATTTACTTAAGCAGTTGACAATATAAAGAATTGTGATTTTAAATGGATCAAATCGACTTGAAATTGTTTTTTTATAGGCACTTCAATCCTTCGTCTACTGCCTAAAAAAATCCAATCCGTTATTTTGTAAATTTAGCTTTTAATTCAAATAGTTATTTCACTGTTTGCGAATGCCAAATCGATACAAATGTTTCAAATTAAATCAACAAAACACTCGTACACCGATTTGTCCTAAAACAAAACAATAAAACGCCAACAAGTTTACACAATTAGTTTATAAATATATTTACAAAATGTATAATTGTTAATTATTATAAATAAAGCATTTGTATTATTAAAACAGTTAAATTGCTCTTGTGAAAGTGACGGTTTCGTGTAACAAATTTTAATTGATCATATTAGTTAGGTTAGAATCGCAAATTGGCGCGGGTTCCTAGTTCAAAAATTAATACATTGATGTCTTATGGGGACTCAATTTTAAAAGCGTCTGTAGACGTGATAGAACGTTTGTTAGGGAAGTGAGTGGTATAAATAGTTTTTTTAATATGTTAATTAACTGAGAGAGTGTTTGAAAGTTGAATAAACATTGTTAAAATAAAAATATTACCAATTTAAGAAGCCGATATTTGTATAAAATACGTATGTCGTTGCTTGATCCATAAGTATATATGAGTACCTAATTATAATAAAATAAAAGTTTACCTTTATACTTGGTTAGTAAATGTACTTCAATAATCCAAAAAAATTGAAAAATAAATGACTGAACAAGTGATAATAGTAGATTATACCACGAGTCAATAATGATAGCTATTATTCCCGAGGATTATTACGAACTCTGCCGCGTTAGCGGCGAGGGAGTAACATTCCGAGGGAATAATAGCCATTATTGCGAGTAGTATACTCTACTTTATTTACGACAAATTAATTTATTTGAGATTTTCAATGAACAAATTTCATCCGTCTCATAATTTTCAATACAAATCCACAAGCACTACACGTTTGACAATGACACTTTTGTGGAATAATGACCATTAATCCCGCTACTCGTCATTAATCCCTGGAGGAATAACATATGTCATTATACTGCCAAAATCACAAATATAATATGCACATTATACATTAGTCGTAAATAAACAATTCACCAACAATCATAACACAACACACAACCTCACTTTCTCTCAGCTGGTTTTAGACCCGACGTACGTCCACCGAAAACAGACACTTTTAATTAAAATCATTTGTATTTTTAATTCATAGGTCTAAAAAACTAATTAGAGCATGAATTATAGAGAAATATGTTCAAAGTTTGATGTACAATAGGTTCCAATACTAAGAAATGCCCAGAACCCAAGATATTCCCGTCTGAAAATCACTCTTTTGAATCCCCCATAAGAAATACATTGCTGTCAAATTTGCTGAAATGTGTTTAGGAACCCATTTTAAATTTCGCGCCTGATTTTTCCTAACCTAACTAATATGGTCAATTGAATTCATTAAGAGATGCAAAAAACAAATTTGCTCAACAATTGCGTCTTCCTAGGACAAAGGTCAACAAAACGCTGAAATACGCCAATGCATTTTGTATTGTGTGTCTGATTTCAGCTGAAATTCGTGCTGCTGCTGCGTTTGATGGGGCACTAACTGAAACACAAATGGAACCAGTTAAAAAGGGATTTTTTTTCCAATGTAGATAATACTGATGGAAAAGCTTTTGGCATTGAATAATACATAAATAATTACTCAAAAGCCATATTTGTCCCTAACATTTTCAAGTTGCCCTAATTACCAACAAAACTGAGCTAGAGACAAAAAAAATTAACAAGACATAATTTATACTAAAATTTTTGTCACGTTGTTACCTCTAGCAGGAATCGGATGCCTGACACTTTTCAAGTCCAACTCCGCGACTTCCTGATAGATCGTCGGAATTTGCGCGACACACTGGAGAACTAATCTGCCCTCATTAAAATGCATAAAAGACAATTTCAGCTCTAATTGCAGGTCGCTCCAATCACGCAAATTCGCCCGTCGCGAAATTCCCGGCTCGGTCTGATTTACCTGAAACAGAAAATCCATGATTTTGCTACTAGTGCTGGCTGTGTTAAAAATACGTCTCTGAATTTCACTCTGGAACTATGAACGATTTTTTTAGAAAACGTTTAATGAGATAAAGTTTTTCAAATTATCATTAGCTCACGTTTCAATTAAATTACCTTGCAATGGGTTTAAGTGGTTCTTTAAGGATTTCATCTAATTTAACGGTTGGCTTCACAACGATATCTAGATTTATTTAATTGCTTGTTAAAAATCACATTTCAAGTGTAGGAATAAACGAATGCTGGGTCTCCTTTCAGTGTAAACTAACTAGAGTGTAGCTCTTCTAAAGGGAAAATTATGAAAGGGTTGGTAAACTTAGGAGAGCCTGCCTGTTTAGTTTACCCTTTCGGGGTCTCTATACTGAGAAGGACAATGGTCAACACTTTGAAGTATTTACAAAGGTGCTAGAATTTTAATTGCCTGTTTGACGTTGATTTATTTATATATTTTTTCAGGCTCTATGAATATATCCCAATTGAAGTTATTGAAGCTTGTGTACCTATGTTCAAGAAAAACCAGTTCAATCTGAAAAGGTCAAAGGTTTGTACTGCAATTTGGTGCAAAAAAATGGAAAAGACAAAAAACTTTTGAGGCAAAATGTATTCTACACAGCGATGACGGCTCAGAGTTCGTAAACTATTGCAAAGAGATGCACTCTGTTGGCCTACTTTATTCATTTGATGGATGACCATAGTAAGCCATTCTATTATTGTGCTACAGTCTATTTTTTCAAGCCTCAGCTCTTCATGAAATCGAGCGAAAAATATTACATTATCCAATAACAGATGTAGCCGAACTGATTTTTATTTATAGTCCCTCTTAGTTCTATCTAATAAGTTTTGTATTATATTTTTTTGCAGCCATTTGTCATTTCTTTTCCATCTGATTCATCCATCGTTTTGCTTTCTGTAAGGATTTTTAGCTTATAGCAAGTCCAAAAACTTTATAGCATTATTAGCAAAACTTTTATTTGTCTTTAATATAAGCAGTTATAAAGTTCCAAAATCCAAACAATATAATAACTAGTTAAAATTTATCTAGTACTTTCATGCTCATAAGTTATGTCGACATCAGCGAAAAGATCAAGAGTGGGTATGTTAAATGTATTTTGAAAGTTCGAAAAGTTTTCAAAGAGTTTAACAAGGTCTCGTATTTAGCATAATAATGCAATTATTAAGAGACGACAAGTAATAATTCCAAACTATAACTTACCGTAATATTATTCAAAATGAATTTAAGATCCGCTGGCGGCCTGGAAGGAAATGAGGTGCAATTGGCACGTAAAATATCACCTATGTCCAATGGTTCTCCTTCGACACTTATTTGAGGCATGTGATCAGGTAATTCTGCAAAAATAAACAAATTTGTATAGGAAATGCATGCTCGTACCCAAATATAATTAAATCTGTTAGCCCATCATCCACCCTAACCCAATGCTAATAGCTTTTCCCTTAACCAGATTAGTTTATAATAAAATATTAACATGTTATTCAGTCAGGTGGTATAATTGAGTGAAATTAAATGAAATTTTGTTGAGTTATATTGTGAATAGCTGCTAGCGAAACATAATTTTCGGTTTATATTAACTAAAAAATATACCGACTACAGTTTCTAATATTTTATATGATCTTAAATTATTATGAATAAGAAAGTCAAATCAAAAAGTTTTTTTAGGCCTTTCTTCAACATTGACCGATTAAAAGATATACGAAAACCGAAAATTATTTCAAACTTTCAACATAATCGTAACCCTAAAAAATAAAACTCGACTTTACGACACTTTGGACCACTTAATTTTGATTAAATACGTCCTAGGCACTCGGGCGCTCGTCTCCCCTTTAACTTTTAGGTAAAGGACGATACTTAATTTATTTTCTTCTGATATAAATAACTCTCTTCTTTTTGTCGCAAATATGAAACGGCTTGGCGCGCGAAGCTGTATCAAAAACTTTCTCTTCCAAGTAATAAAATATAATTGCCGCTCTGCCCCAGAGCACCACACATTTCGACCCGGAGACGAAAAAAAGTTTTTGATTTGATTTTCAGAAAACAATATAAAAACTTTTTGCGGACCTTTATTGGAGACACTTTTCATCAAAATTAAATCATAATATCTTCAAAATAAATTTCATAACTCCTACATCTATGATAGATGTTTTATCATGTATCTATTGATATTTGCGTTTTTATGTTCTTTAATTATTTGATGTATACAATTTACAAAATATTCCTTAACCTCCAGTGCAAATTTCACATGAAAGTGGAGACGCAAGACAAAATGAATCAAATAACTTTTTTTGCAATTCAAAACGGTCTACTTGTATTAAATTTGTATTCCCTGACCCAGAAAATTCGGATCTACACATTTTATTTCATCAGAAGTTTTATAGGGTGAATGTTTTCTTAAAAAAAAACCCACCGAATCAGTGTAGGTTTTTATAAATATAAAATATTCTCCATATTTTAGGTATAATATCAGATCGCTATATCGCTTCTGATTATATCTACAAGGTGTGACATGATCTCTGTTTTTCCTATTTTTAGGAGTGCTGGAAAGATCTCGTCCACTCCCGGCGATTCTAGAGGTTCGAATGTATTTAATACTTATCCAAGCAGCTTTAGTACAGGTAGTTGAAGGCTCCTAGTCCAGTTTTACCCATAGTATGTTTTTCAATGATTCTTCCTAAAATTAGGGTCCATCAATGTTGGTAAAAATCTGTCTCAGAAAAATCAATAAACCAGTAGGAGCTTGAAAGTCCGGAACACTAATTTCACCATCTCTATGAATGGAACCTAGAAATCTTGAATTTGATATAATGGAAGTTCCTGTACATAAACGTCATAATATAACAAGGCATACTATCTTATCTCTTGTCTCATTATCTTTTTCTCATAATTTTCCAATTTGTAACTTTCTGCTTTCGCCAACTTTCCAGCCAGACATGTTACCAATTAGTGAATATGAAATATAAACTGCTTAACCAGCATCTCAACAATTTTCTTTTCGCTTCTGAATTTTATCAGAGAGTCGCTAATTAAAACTTCCAAAACTTCTTTACACTAAAACTCGACAACAATTCGAGGTTCAACATTTATGTTGGGTTCAATAGGGAAAATTCTCATTTTGCTACATAAATATTATTTTGGCTGAATGAAATGAAAACTTTATCCAGAAAAAAACCATGATATTCTTTAAAGGCCCAATTTTATTGGAAATATTTCATCATCCAGAAATTTTTGTATCCAATGTTGAGTCATAAATATTGCAAACAGGGCATAAAAAATTCATATTTTAATAATGAGAATTGCAAAAATAAAATTTGATCGGAAAATTAATAAAGCGTATTGCTTGTTAGGCAAAACACAATTTGAAACAGTTCATGTGTTTGATTTTTCAACTTTTATTTTATTATTTGTGAATTTACTTACCGAACAAGGTATGATAGACACTCTTTTGTCAAAATGTTTTGTAAAATACTCATTTTACACAAAAAGTAACGTGTGAAATCTAAATAGTTTCATAAATATTTCAACAGACAAAAATTCCATTCAGACAACAAAAGAGGCAAGTTTAAATTGCTTAACGACAAAAGCTGGACGTGCAAACTATTTACGAAGCAACCACGACAATAATTTATGATCATGCAAGCAACATTTCTTTCTCAAAGAGTGCAAAAGTGTTTTACTTACGCACAACTGACATTGATTTCGAATCAATTCGGGTGTGAATATTGGGACCGGGACCATCAGTGGTAACTTCGCAACTAAAGTTTCCAGCCAGATTGAATTCAATATCCTTCAGAACCACTTGCGTCGAGTTTGAGTTGGCCAGCTGAAACAGGAAAATAGATACTTTACTATGTGTGTGTGTTTGAGTGAGCTAAAGTTTTTGGAGCGAATAATAGGGTATAGAGACGGTGAATTGCAAATGGGAGTGGAATTCCTTTCTCTTATCATATCTGCTGGCGCTTATTGGCACTTGTTTATGCCATATAAAGGAAATGACATTTTAGTTAGTAGTAGATTCTGAATTTATATTGAAATGTTACATTTATTGATTGGGTTAGTTTTTTATCATTATAGTAGTTTTGGATTTAGGTATTTATTATGCGCAAAAACTAAATATTTCTGCATTCATTTACAAAATTAATTGGCGAAGTATAATTTCAGAAAGTTTTTAAATTTGTCGTAGATGCCATCATATTTTTCTTTTCAATGTGCCCCTACATTGACTGTAATTAACTACTTAATGCAATGTAGAATAAAATTTTAATTATTTATTTCAATTTTGTTCATGTATTTAAATACGTAATTTGTTTTATTTTTGATAGACTTTAAAATGTTTATTTTATAATTATATTGTTAGCAAGCAAAAACATTATATTTTGTAGACAGAATAATAATAATATATCAAAAATATATATATGTATTATGCTTCCGCTATAAATTAAAGCTTCATTGTGAACGGAAACATTCATTTATAATAAATATGTTGAACTTAAATAATTTAATGAAAGTAATCTTTATCAAATTTATCTACAATTCAACGTTTGAATAATGCATGTCTAGCAGAGATAACCGCCAGGTTTAAGGAACTTACAACAAGGAAGATGTACCAAGATACCACGATTTTCTTTAACAGCAGATGTCTTCAACTAGAAACCAAATACATGAGGATTGGGAGAATAGATCAATTCTTTTCTCATTTGCTTTAAGATGGACTCACATTTATCTACAATTTAATACTCATGTATTTGGCTTCTATTTAGTTGGAAACATCTGTTGTTCAAAAAAATCTTGGTATCTTGGTACATCTTCCTTATTGTAGGTTATCTCTGCTGGACATGCATTATTCAAACGTTGAATTGTAGATAAATGTGAGACCATCTTAAAGCGAATGAAAAACGAATTGGTTTATTCTCACAATCCTTGTGTATTGTAGGCTTCTAGTTGGAGACATTTGTTGTTCAAGAAAATCTTGGTAGGTACCTTGTTACATCTTATAATAAGGAAGATATTCCAAGATACCAAGATTTTCTTGAAAAACAAATGTCTCCAACTAGAAGCCAAATACATGAGGATTGTGAGAATAGACCAATTCGTTTTTCATTTGCTTTAAGATGGACTCACATTTATCTACAATTCAAAGCCAGTAACAGCAAACTTGGTTGGCTTATTTCCGGAGGTTTTGCCAAAATGAGTCCGACTCTACACTATGTCATTTCTCCAAAAATTCAGAAATTCAGTCGCAGTTAGAGAGGTTTTGGGAAATTGAGGAGGTTTCTTCAGGTAATCGTTTATTCACTGAAGAACAGGAAGCCGAGGAACATTCTCAAAAAACATTCTGTCGTAACAAAGAGGGTAGATTTATTGTGTCCATGCCTTTAAAGGACTCTCCTCCCAAATTAGGTGATTCCAAACAAGGGGCAACAAACCAGCTTTTCTCTCTGGAGAAAAAACTTTCTTCAAAACCAACATTCTGAGAGATGAACACTTCATTTATGCGGGAATATGTGAGCTTGCAACATATGTCTCCGTACACTCCCACCAATGATCAAGTAACATACTTCTCACCACATCACAGTGTGCTTCGTGAGGAAAGCGTGACCACAAAGCTCAGGGTAGTTTTTAATAGTTCATTTCTATCGTTAACCAGAAAATCATACAATTCATTGCAGATGGTCGGTCCGACTGTACAGGAAAGCCTTTTTTCAATCCTTCTTCGGTTCAGGCAACACTCATATGTTGTTTCCGCCGAAATTTGTAAAATGTATAGGCAAATACTTGTTGCTGATGAATTCAAACCTTTGCAGCTTGTTCTTTGGTGTTCTAGTCCTGAGCAAGAATTGCAAATCCTTTCACTAGACACTGTTGTTTATGGCACAGCCAGTGCACCATTTCTGGCTACGAGATGTTTACTGCAACTTTCCTTTGATCATCAGGATCTCAATCCTCAACCTTCAAGAGGGATTTCTATGTAGATGACATTTTCACAGGTGCATCGTCTGTAGAGGAAGCAGTCACTCTTGCAAATAAAGTTAGTTCAATCTTGGCTAGTGCGAGCATGGAAAGTGAAAATCTAATTCGTCTGAAGTTTTGAAAGCTATTAAATCTGAATGCTCTTCAACTGATAACTTCTATTTTGGTTCCACTAGTACCAGTAAAATGCTAGGAATGCTATGGGCCAGTGAGACATCTTTTCATTTTTTATTGGCGATCTTCCAAATACAAGGGTTATTACCAAGAGAGTAATTCTTTCGGAAACAGCAAAAATTTATGATGCTCTTGGACTAATCAGTCCTGTCGTTGTCAGAGCAAAAATGTTTCTCCAGAAGCTTTGGGATTTGAATCTTCCTTGGGACGTAGAGGTTCCTAAAGAGCTTGCAACTAAGTGGAAGTCATTCAGATCAGAACTTCCAGAACTTAACAGGTTGCAAATTCCCCGACAAGTAACGTGCAAAAATATTGTTCTAGTGGAATTGCACGGGTTTTCCGATGCGTCGCAGACCGCCTATGGTGCATGCATCTACATTAGAACCAAAGATATGTTTCAAAATATACATGTTCAGTTTCTCACTTCTAAAACCCGTGTAACCCTGCTCAAATCTATTAGCATTCCCAAACTTGAGTTTTGTGCAGCGCACCTTCTATCACAACTCTACAGCAAAGTCATATCATCTTTAACCCTCAAATTTGATGATGTATTTTTCTGGAGCGACTCGACAGTGGCACTCTGTTGGATTCGATCTTCTCCGCACAATTTTCAGGTCTTTGTGGGGAATCGCGTTACCGATATTCAAAAGGTCTCGTCACCAGAGTTGTGGAGTTACGTTCCAACTGAGCAAAATCCAGCGGACTTGCTGTTAAGAGGCACGTCACCTGTAAATTTTATTCTATCCAAGTTTTGGTTCTCTGGACCCGATTGGTTGAGTAAATCACAATCAAATTCGTCAGTCATTCATTTTATCACATTTTCAACACGTTTAAAAATCAAAGAATTACCAGAGGTTCGAAAAAATATTCATTCTTCTGTCTCAAGTGAAATAGTTAAAACTGAGATATTTCCCTTTAAAAGATTTTCATCCTTTTCAAAATTGAGAAAAACCATGGCATACTGCTTACGATTCATTAAGAATTGTCGTTGTCGCCAGGAAGATAGATGTTATGATGATATTTTTTCTATAGAAGAAGAAATGCAAGTAATCAGTTGGTGTCTTTATCGCAACAGGAATCATTTTCAGAAGATTACAAAAATCTCGTTAGTTCTGAGTGTGTTAGTAAGGAAAGCACCATTCTGAGCCTCGCTCCATTTTTCAAGGAATACTGTTTCTAATTTAGGTTGGCGTTATTGTTGATATATAGACAATTGCTAGTGTAGAGTGGCAGTTGTCATTATTAGTTGTCAAGTAATTTTTCAATTTTGATTCACACACGTTTTTCCTTCTTCCTATTTTGACGAGTTTATACCTTTTTTATTATAATACTTTTCACTATCTGAGTATTTAAGATTTATCACTACCACATGCTTCCACCAGAGGCTATGGGGACCAGCAAGTGTTAAATTGTGGTAGTAATTCGAAGTTAAAAGAGTACCATAGTGTAAAGTGAAAAAATGAATGCCACAGTAGCAGTCACCAAGCTTAACAATTCCAATTGGAATGTTTGGCGGTTCCAGGTGAAAGTTGTGTTAATGACAAAAGGTCTGTATGATATTACTTGCGAAAATGAAGCAATGACGGAGGAAGATGCCGACAAAATTGCTAAATGAAAAGTCATAGATGCCCGTGCTCAGGAAGCCCTTGTGATTAGAATGGAGGATACAATTATTTCCCATGTGATGCAATGTACATCGGCGAAAGAAATGTGGAATAAACTAGTATATTTGAAAGAAAATCTGAGGTGAGTGCACACCTTTTAGATGAGCAGTTTTACAATGCTGAATTTCAAAATGACAACGTTAATGGCTTTATTACTAAGATTATTACCATACAGGCGAAACTAAAGCAATTGGGTGAGGATATTCCAGAGAAAATGATGATGACAAAAATTATTATGTCCCTTCCGGAAAAATGTTCCGCCATTTCAGATCTGCCTGGGAAAGTGTGCGCCCCAAAAATCAGACCCTAAATAATTTGACAGCTTGCCTTTTGATCGAAGAAGATAGATTAGTGAAACAAGAGGAAGAATCTGTCGCACTATTGTCTTGTCACCAGTCTGTTGTTGAACAAACGTCAAATGTCAAATATAAACAAAAACAGAAAATGTTTTTCTTGCGGAAAAGTGTGACATTTGAAGAGCCAGTGCAGGAATATCGAGTGTGGTTACTGCAAGAAGAAGGGTCACCTTATTAAAGACTGTTTTGCCAGAAAGAAAAACGAGGCGTGAGACAAAAATGAGTTAAAGAGTGCAAATGGGAATTTTGTGCTCATTTCCATTTTAGCTAGGTCTCAAGTAGATGTTGAATGGTTCATGGACAGTGGAACCTCGCAGCATATGTGTAGACACTTAGACTTATTTTGCAGTTATGAAAAAATGGAAGTGGCAAAATATATCAAGATAGGTGATGGTACTAACTTATTAGCCGAAGGTCAAAAAAACATTTGTATGCAAGCATTTAATGGTGAAAATTTCCATTCCGTGATACTGTATGATGTTCTCTATGTTTCAAATCTTAAAATAAATTTGTTTTCTCAGGGTAAAGCCCTAGACAAAGGTTATCTTTAATTTCAAATGCCGAAGAGGCAAAATTTGTGAATAAGGAGAACATCACAGTGGCGATAGCATTTCGATCAGATAAACTTTTTAAAATTATGTTCAAATCACCTAGTTGTT